CGTAGGGAACCCTATCGGGAATGTGGTCTCTCATATCGAACGAAGTGTGGAGACCTTATGTGTTTTGGTGCCCATACCAGACGGAGTATGGGGACGGCCCGTTTCACCCTCATACCGAACGGGGTATTGAGGTTTATGATTTTTGCGCCCATACCGGACGGGGTATGGAGACAGCCCTGGAATCAGCTTATTAATTATAATGGTTCACGTGTAGCGGGGACCCCCTATGGATCCCCATGGATACTAGTAGGTTGGTAAAAGAGCAAATTTGTTGCCTGATTATTGAAGTGCAAAAGTATGACATGTGTTATGCTACTAAGTGTATATGATTTTATGATGGTTATAATGCTATTGTCTTCATATGTTATTTTCACAAATCTCATCGAGATAAGTGGACAGTAAATATTTTTACTATTAATAAATGAGTTGTTATAAATTATGCTCAATTGGTTGTTTTTGTTTTCTACCAACCTTTACTTCGGTGGCAGTGAGATAGTGTGATGTCTTTACTGAGTTAGTGTAGCTCATTTCTTACTTAACCATTTCAGATCAGGAAGACGTGGTTCCCGAGCCCGTTCCACAGGAAGACGGCGAGTTAGACGTCTAGAGACTTTATAGTTCTATTTATAGTTTTTATTTCGAGTATTTTTTTTAATCAGCTTATTCTTTCACATGTTGGATACGTTTTTTGTTATTGTGTAAGGGATGTTAATCAAAATTTTTATTACGCTTCTGCATTTAAGATTTTTTTTATATACAAACATTTTCATTTAAATTTTCGGGGCCGTTACATGTTTGATCAAGCATTTTTTAAGTGAGTTGATTATGCACTTTCTTTTATTATGTTAAGAGACGAGAATAACGTGAACTTTAGACATTTATGTTCATTGTTATACATGTTCTTCGGATAAAAATATATATTTATACTCGAAGCAGATAAAAAATTTTTTTATTTGCCACCAATTCCATAGGTAAAATTTTTATGTTTTACTCGCACCATTTCCTTTTTTTTAATTCTAAAGTTCATATAAAATATAAATAATAACTTAAACTTGGTAAAAAAAGATGTAAAGTGTTAATCAAAATAACATATAATTTAAAAATAATATTTGAATATAATTTATTCAATAATAAATATTAAAATAATATTATAAAACACCATTCTATTTTAGTGATAGAGTGTTTGTAGAGATGCATGGTTAGAGTATGGTGAATGAAAAATGAGGCGATAATTACCGAATGGGGTAAAATTCTTACAGGGGTTATATAGTTTTTACTGTAGGAAATTTAAGGTTTAGCAAGGAGTTGAAAATGCATATAGTTCAATATGATCTTTTCTTGCATTAAGTCAGGTTATTGGTGTTTGAATTGGAACTTTTTACATGTTTTTATACGCGCCTGTGTTTTGCTTAAGTCTGAGGTTAATTAGTCATTTGAGTGTCGTAGATTTCTATTTTATTTGGAATATGAACGTCGAATATTAGTTTGAAAATATAGTAAATAAATAGTAGATAAAAAAAAATTATTTTTGCTAAATAATATATAATTGTAAATGTATATAAACAAATATTCTTTTATATGAATAAATAAGAATTTTAGTTGCATAAATTAAAATATTACTACTTGTAAAAATATATCTTAATCATTATTAAACATTTCTAATTGGATATATGATACAAGGTATATATTAATGTTTATATATTTGAATAATGCACCTTTGTTATCTCATACAAATAAATAAGAATATTATACAAATTAAAAAATATTAATCAAAATATGTTGATGTGGCTGTATGCGACACAAAAACTATAAGATGTATATATGCATATATATATGTATAAATAGAGATATATATATATATATATATATATAAAAGAGAAAACAAGGCTAAAATTATAGAAGCAATGTTCATTTATTACGTTTATTAGTTACCAAAATAGACTGATACAATGGGGAAATTAAAATGTTTAGAAAAAGAAAATAATGAATGAATATTAGAGAGGAATTGATAAGAGTAGCTGTACTCGAAGTAACATAGGAAAATCCCCAATGCATATATATATATATATAGTTTTATTTTTTACATAAATAATATATAATAATCATATAGATAGCTAGCTTGCTCCATTTATAGCTGGGTTAAGCGAAGAATCAGTCTGTGAATTATACCCAAATCCAGATTTACATCAAGCCAGATTTTACCATTTCAGCTTGGCCGGAAAATACTGCACGTTAAAATTATCTTTGGTTAGAAAAGAAAACGGATAAATACATATATATATACACACACACACACACACGTAAAAAACGTAATGTAACAAGTGATTGTTATTATAATATTATATAGTACTCACTTTTTCAATGAGGGAAAGGTAATATGGCTTGACTTTTTCAACGTCGACACGAACTTTGCTCTTACTGTAAAGATCATATTTGCTGCATCGAGTTTTTTGCAGAACAGACAAAACGGTGAGTTTTGGGCCTTTCGGTTGATGGAAATGTATATACACATAAGATATATGAAATGAAGACTTACTTGAATATCTTTAGCCACTTGAGATTAGCCTGATCTTCCTCATTCATTAGGTGAGTATAAGCTCCAGCCTTGTGTAAAGCTGGCCAGATTTTAGAAATATTTAAATATATGTAATGAAACTATACATTAACATTATATTATATATATATATATATAGTAATTAGGTATGGTCGAAAAGTGTATTGAAGAAGATGCTTACGGTAAAAAGAGTGATATCTGATAATGAACAATCCAGCTGAAGGGAGAGTTGTTCCATTTGCCTTAGCAACCTACAAATCATAAACAAATTATATAAACCATAATGTAAAATCAAATTAATTAGGAATTTATATATTTATAGAAGATATATATGTATATACCAAATACATATAGTCATCATGACCCCATGACATCATAACATTTTCCAGTCCACATCCCTCTGAGTAAATTCCATATTTGGAGTTGTAGGTTGGGTTGTTGTGGTCTGGGTTTTCGTTGAAGTACTGCACCCCCACACAAGAGAATTTTTTAGCTTTAAATCATTTTCAACATTAAGTAATTATTTTAGTATGTTTTTATTTTCCAAAAAGAAGAACAGGAAACAAAACGTCAGACCTTGTGGTGAACATTGGCTTCGTCAAATGCACATCCTACAGGGAATGTGTCGCCTGCAGTATAAATATTGAATTTATTAAATAAGTTCCAAGATTAATTAAGAAAATAAAAGTGATTAATACAAGTCGTAAGTTATGATTATAGATAAGATAATACACTCACCAACAACTGCCCATTGAGGAAGACCTCCAAAATTTGGTAGGAGAAGAACTTTTCCAAGATCTGAAAATTACAATAAATCAAGTTTTTCAAAATTTGCCAAATTAGTCAATTACTTGCACTCCTAATACTCGTCCTTATCTATAATTCCTTTTTCCCCTCCCAGAGGACCCATATAAGACATATATATATATATATACACATATCCCGGGGTAGGAAGAGGACAAAAAGAAGAGATTCAAATATATATATATGTTTGATATTGTGTGTGTGTGTGTGTATATATATATATATATACCATGAATTAGGGCAGTCAAGTGGAGCCAATCTTCATCAGGGTAGTCTTTCCTAATTGCTTCAGCGGATTGCAACAAGTGCTCAATTTGAGGTTCGTCCAAATCAGGATCACTGTCATCCACAACTTCATTCAACAGTTCACAGCATTCCCATATGCTCATCTCCATTCTGTCAAATGTTCCATAAACTTCCCTCATCTTTTTCACCTGCATTACAAAGTTTTAGTTTTCACCCATCAAAATCAAATCAAATCAAATCAAGACTAATTTAGGTTAAGAATCTTGAACTAAATCTTTAATTTCTTACAAAGTCATAGGTTTGGTTAATGTGTTGGAGTCTATAGAACTCCTCAACTCCTTTCTGTCTTTCGCTCTCTGCATCATAATCCCTGCAACCCATAACAAGATTTCAGATTAATATGGAAACTAACCCTTAATTTTTTAGATTAAAAAAAAAAAAAAAAAAAAAAAGGGAACCCATATAGCGTGTGTGTGTATATGTATATTAGATATGTCAAAGAAGAAAATACCTAAATGCATGGCCAAATGCATTAATCTCCGGGGCCAGGAATCCGTCAGTTTTTGGCACCACAAACCCACCATCCAAAATCAACTCGTTGGTTTCCTCCTTGGTTTTCACGTCGGTTCCTAATTTCAATCGCAACAACATTTAGAGATTGAAATAATGGGGATCAAACTCAAAATATTGTGTCAATTTCTGAACCCAAAAAAAAAAAAAACAATAATTACCAAAATCAGCTGGTTGCTCGATGAGAATCGTCATCCTCCTCCTCAGAAAATAACAGAGACCAGGAAATTTAAAAAAAAAAAAAAAAAAGAAAGTTTATGGGCTTGAGAGCAAAAAGAAATCGAAGGACAACAACAAAGTAAGAAAGGGTGGTGTGAGGTGGGCTTCAAGGGAAGGAGTAGTTATTATTTATAGTCACATCAGAAAAGTCCTTCCTTGAGATTTGGAAGGTTTCGAGTCCTCAACTGAAAAATCTTTGTTTCATCCACGTCCTCCTTCTATCCAAACAAGTCAAATATAGCACCTTCTCACCTCACTCTCCCGCAATCAACGTCTACGCCACTATCCATTCAAATCACTCCACGTGTCGTCCATCCCAAAGTCTCATAACGCGGTCAAATCAGTTCGTACTTTCATTATTAAATTTTAATTTATTTACAGACTTTAATTCATTATTACCTACATTATGAATGTACATATAACCCGGATTAGAAAATCTAATCTCAGCCATATTCACTTAATTTCCAAAGGTAATTAACGTTAAAAATTTACATAATCAGAAAGATTTTACGATGCCATGTCATTCTGACTCGTAGTACCTATCTTTTTCATATGATAAACACATAAATAATTAAGATTTAGGTGATTTAATTACTAATTAAAAATTACATTTATTTGTATTTTCAAACTGACGAGTAATAGGATAAGTCCCTTTTAATCTTACTTAATTAGATATATGCCACTCATTATTTATTTTGACTACTATTATATAGTTTCTTTTTAAATTTATTTATAGTTTAAATTGGTGTCTTTGTTAATCAAATCAAAATCATCAACAAAGGTACATAAACAAAATTATTAATTTTTTTTTTAAAAAAATATTTATAATTATGATAAAATTAAAATCGGACTATCACCATAAATTGAAACAAGGAAATTTCTCTGAATTATCAGAATAAATTTTATTTTTATAATAAACAACATGCAATATTATATTTTGCAATAGTTAATGTTTACCTAAAAAATAATTAAATTTCGCAAGGAAATTATATATATATATATATATGTTGCAATTTGCAATTTTAATAATATCAATGGGTCGAAAGTCAACCAATTAAATTAACATGAAATTACCAAAATAACCCTGAAAATTTTTATTTAAAAAAAAAAAAATGGAGTAGGAAAGTGACTCAGCGTTACGTGTATATCATATCTTATTAACCCATTCGGGACAAACTGACGCAGCACCCCGTCATGCCTATTAGACTACTTTTACTTTTTTGAATAGCGCGTTGAATATCAACGGCTGAGCTGTGAGCTTAATGAGCCAGGAAGTATGTATATCAGACGGTGGTAAATGTGCCATGTCAGCAAGTAGTAACAATCTGGCAAGTCGCTTTCAAAGGAGATCTGTAAATTGCTGGCGTAAGATATTTTTGTTAATTCATGGTGGTGGGCGTTTCTCCAAACTTTAAAATTAATTAATTGCGGTAACTGACAGGTTGCTCACGTGGGTAGTGATGGTATTTTGTCCGGTAAAAAGTTAAAACAGATAAAAAAGAATTTATTGATTGCAGGAACAATTAATGATAACTCATTACATTTTTATTTCGCAAAACACACCTCCATATATTTTTACAATGTTATCATTAAAATTTTAAAATACAATTAATTTTTTTCATATGATTGAAAATATTTTTAGTGCGTAAAATACTTTTTCTTAAATGGAATCGAAGATAAGATTGAAACTATTACAACCAGAGCATAATATAATCACATTTTAATTAGGTTTATAAATATTTTTTTCATTAAATAAACCATATAATTATTTATGTCACACACAAATTTAAGAGAAACAATTATAACAAAGTTTTTTAAATAATTTATAATGTATAAAAATATAAGAATTTTTTCAAAAATAAAAAATATAATATAAATCTGATGCTCCATTTAAATGAATATATTAAGACATGTTTCGAAAAATAAAAAAGAATATATATATATAACTAAATATTTTAATATATTTTTTGAAATAAGATTGAAGATTTTTAACATTTATGTATATAACTTACATTTTTAATTTTATTATTAATTTTTATTTTTTGTGAAATATTAAAATAAAATTAATGTGAGAATCTATATTTGATTTATTCTGAATATATTATTTGATGTCATATTTTTATGAGATTATTATATATAAAAATAATATTGAGTTTTAATTATATTGAAATATTAATTTAAACTGTATTTTATTTTGATTAATATTTAATATTTTTAATTATTTATTTTAATATTTTATAAAATTATAAATAAGTTAGATACCAAGTGAATGAACGAAAAAAATGGGTAGATACGGGTGATCGAGGCGGATGATGGGCAGTAACTTTTTTATTCGTGAAAAGGTGGTGGATAAAAACTTTTTTTACTCAGGTGTAGAAAACTTGTCCCCACCAGCCAATGTTGTTCTTCTCTTTCAAATCTTTATGAAATTGTTTTTGAGTCGTATATATCATACTTCCACTCATATTTTATCTTTGTTTGATCAAATAAAATAATTAACTATGTAAAAAAAAATAAAAATAATAAAACCATAATAATGATAATAATAATAAATATTTAAAAAAGCAAATTGTCATCCCCTATATCCGATATAAGGCGCAATTCCTGTTCATGTCATTTTCATGCAGTAGTCCCATAAAATATATACATGTATATATCCAAAAATATAATATAACCTAACATCCCATGTGATTGTACAATAAGTATATATACAAAATATGATGTCAGAATTTAAAATTTAACAGAACAAAATAAAACTTCTCGAATATGTACAAAATATACAAAAATAAGAATTATTTTACATGTTCTACTCGTCTGACAGCCGTGTTGGCTCTTTATTATCATTTGAAAAATATAAAGGTAAAATTTAACGAGTTTCACCAACTCAATAAATATTTCCGTTCTCTCAACCTAGATAAAATTTCATACAAAATATACGGTAATAAACAAAAATAATAAAAATGCTTCAGCGCAAAATTCATGTTCTTATTTTTACTATTTTCACATATTCCTGATCAATCTTATGAATTCTCTCGAATATCATATATAAATATCAAATGTATATTTTCATACTCTCGGAAGTTATAAATACAATCAAATATAAATCGTCATTTTGAAACATAATCACAGACATACAAAAAATATCACAGATACACTCGAAATGTCATTTCTATGGTTTCATCATCGAGGAAAGACAAAATATATCACTCCATCACATGGATAACACACACACACAAATCTTACAATGGCCATAGTAAGTACATTTGCTAGGTGACCCACACTCACAAATGCTCATCCACGTCTGGATTAGGTTTCAGATTCTATCTATGTGCAGGTTCACAATGCCTGTTGAACTTCAGCAACACATACATACACTCATCTCCTCAGTTCAAACTAAACAAGAAGGTATTTAAGGTCCCTATCCTATTCACTCCTATCATCTCATTCCAAAATTCTTAATTTATTTAAATGATCATTTCACAACCTCAATTATTTCTTTTCTTTTCTACTCTTACTTTTTTATTTTATTTATTTTTTATTTTTTTTCCTTAATTAGAAAATTTTCTTTTCAATTTCATATTTCATCAGTTCAAACTATCAGTCCTTTGGGTCTACTTTCTGATTTCGTCTCCTCATAGGGTTCCAATTGCTTAAGTTTACAGATCATAGTTTGGGTTCTATTTTTCATCGAAAATTAGGTCAATATCCATTCAAATTTCAAAATTAAGTATTTTTATTAAATGAATGCACTTTTCAAAATTTAAACCCCGTTGAGATTTAGAAATACTTACACTTCTACGTATCTTCTCGGATCTGCCTGAATATTTAAATTTTTCTATACAGATGATATAAATTAATTAAAATATGTCAAAATATTAAAAATTAATTTAATCAGATTACGAATTTTAATAACCACCCAACGGAATACCCAAAATTATTGAGATCCGTACCTGAAAAATCTTTTGGCTTCCCGTTCGGCAAATCGAATTTTCGTTTTTGAAAAAGAATTTTCAGCTTCTCGGACAGCGAATCAGAATCTGAAATGACAATTCCGACCTCCATTCCTGTGGAAAACACTTTGGCTTCCACAGTGGGTGGGTTTTCCCCATTCTTGAGGAAACCTCCTAGGTTCCTGTGGGGGTGGGTGATCCGGCCGAGTCTACATGACCAGCCCAACACCAGTCCCACTTCACCGTGACTCAAACCACCACCAAAACAAGAAAACAGAACAGTTTTACCTTATGTGCGAGTGATTCAGTCTCGGTTTTACTCCTGGTTGTCTTCTCTCGGTCACTCCTGTAATACTCTTAATTAATTTTAAAATATTTAAAATTAGTGTATAAATATAATTTTTGAATTTTTTATTTAATGTATAAAATTTAATTTTTAATTTTATAAATTATTAATTAATGTAAAAATGAAAAAAATTAAATGGAGGATGAAACTAAAATAATTTTGGAAAAAATAGGTGAAAATTTTAGTTCTATGGGTATTTTTAAAAGAAAAATCGGAAACTGTAGATCAAAATATAATTTTAAAAAAATTGTGCCACGTAAGACGCTCAGTCAGCAGCCCCGACGAACCAGAGTGTGCCATGTGGCAAGCCACACTGATGCAGTACCGTCACTAGAGCACGGCAGAGCCGCCATGCCAAAATTATGAAATTGGCCAAAAAGGGTTTCTAACACTCATTTTAGATTTTTTGGGGTATTTCTAGGTACTTAAAGCGTGTTTTAATCCCTGAAGAAAAATTAATAGAACCAGGGGACCGCTAGTAAGCACAGTAAAAAAAACTTAGCGTTCAGACACCAATTCGAGTAAGAATCTCTCACCTTATTCCTTGTTATGAAATTAAAATTTAATTTTAAATAATATGGTATTTTTTAAAACTTAGAAACACTCATAATTAATTGCAGGTTACTAATAGAGGCGGAACCGGTTATTTATTGTTGTTTGCTATATTTAACCGATTGACTGATTTTATAGTTTTCGAGTGCATGATAATACACTGAAATTTGTATGATGATGTAATTGTATTCATTTGATGCATGTTTTACTTGTTTTGTGTGACTATGTTGAATTGGAAAATCGGAAA